GAAGGATAAGGATGGCAAGGTTCAGGAACCTTGGATGACAAGAGAAATTAAGACCTGAGTCAAAAAGAAAAATGAGGCCTATGTAAGGTTTGGGAAACTGAAACAGATAGCTCTGGAAGAATACAAAGATAGCAGAAAAACACTCAAGCAAGGAATTAGGAAGGCTAAAAAGGCTGTGAAATGTCTTTGGTAAACAGGATTAATCAAAATCCTATAGCATTTCATACATGTGTAAGGGGCAGGAGGGTAGCCAGAGAAAGGGTAGGTTCACTCAAGGACAAAGGATCGAATTTATGCATGGAGCCAGTAGATGTGTTTGAGGTCCTTAATGAATACTTTGCGTTGGGGTATTCACAAAGGAAAAAGAATTGGTAGATGGTGAGTTTCATGAGGGTTATGTTGATATTAAAAAGGAGGCATTGTGTATTTTGAAAAGCATTAAGGACCTGATGGGATCTATCCCACGATGTTGATAAGGGTAAGTGCGGAAGTTGCTGGGGCCTTGTACGAAATCTTTGTGCCCTGTTTAGTCACAGGAGAGGTCCCAGAGGATTACAGAATAGCCAAAGTTGTTCCTTTGATAAGAAGGGCAACAGGGATAATCTGGGAAATTACAGGCTAGTAAGCCTTACACCAGTGGTAGGGAAATTATTAGAAAAGATTCTTAGGGATAGGATTTATTCACATTTAGAAAAATATGCAGTTATTAGCAATAGGCAGCATAGCTTTATGCAGGGAGGTTTGTCTCTCAAACTTGATTGAGTCACTGAGGAAGTGACAAAGATGATTGATGAGGGCAGGGTAGTGGATGTTATCTACATGGACTTTAGCAACACCTTTGACAAGGTCCCTCACGGCAGGCTGATACAAAAGGTGAAGTCACATGGGATCCACAGTGATCTGGTAAAATGAATGCAGAACTGGCTTAGTCATAGATGATAGAGAGTAGTGTGAAAGGGTGTTTTTCTGTCTAGAGATCTGTGACCAATGGCATTCCACAGAAATCAGTGCTCGGATCCCATATATGTATGGGTTAGAAGAGAATAAAGGTAGCCTGATAAATAAGTTCGTGGAAGACACAAAGATTGCAGATAGTGAGGAGGATTGCCAGAGGATAGAGCAGGATGTAGATAGGCAGGAGACTTGAACGGACAAATGGCAGTTGAAGTTTAATCCAGACAAATGCAAGGTGATGCATTTTGCAAGATCTAGTGCAGGAGGGGGTATATAGTAAATGGCAGAGCCCTTAGTGGCATCAACATTCAGGGAGATCTAGTTATACAGGTCCACACTTACCTGAAAGTGGCAACACAATCGATAAGATGATCAAGAAGGCATATGGCATGCTTGCCTTCATTGGTTGGGGAACAGAGTATAAAACTGGCAAGTCATGTTGAGCTGTATAGAACTTCAGTTAGGCCACATTTGGAATATTGCATTCAGTTCTAGTCACTAACTACCAGAAAGACGTGGAGGCCTTTGGAGATGATACAGAAACAGTTTACCAAGATGTTACCAAGATGTTTGGTAGGTATTAGCTATGAGGAGAGATTAGACAATTTGGTTTGTTTTCAATTGAGCATTGAAGAATGAGAGGTGCCCTGATAGAAGCTTACAAAATTATGAGAGCCATGGATAGTCTTTCTCACAGTACAAATGTCAATTACTAGGGGACATGGGAAAGGGGAAAGTTTAAAGGAGATGTGAGAGGTAATTTTTTTTACACAGAGGGTGGTAAATATCTGGAATGTGCTGCCAGAGGAGGTGATGGAGGCAGATACAATAGCAATGTTTAAGAGGAATTTGACAGATATATGAATAGGCAGGAAATAGAGGGATACAGAACGTGCAGAGGCAAAAGATTCTTAGTTTAGAAAGGCATCGTGTTGGTGCAGTCTTGGTAGGTGGCAGGCTTGTTCCTATTCTGTACTGTTCCTTGTTCTTTGCTGTTCCAACCCACTTCTCCATCCCTAGCCGTCTCCCCGTTTTCCTCCAATCCATCCCCTGGTCTCCACCTACTCTCCTCTTTAAATTTCTCCCTATTTTTCTTAACTCTACCTATGCCTAGTTACATTAACCTACCTTCCACCAATTCAGTTTGACCCACTGAAATGCTTAGCATTTGAATCCCTTTGTAAGATTAAGAAATATATCACAGAAGTACATTAAAAGACGTACATTGATGTACATTAAAGTCTGACAAGCCAGTTTAATCAATGTTATAATTTATAGTCTATTTCAAGCCTGGTACAACAAGGGTGTAATGCAACACCCACCCTTCACTCACCAGAATTATCCATGATGGTAAATAATTTGTTATTTTATCACAGATTGCCAACCAATATTCACACTCGTATATGGTGAGAATATTGCTATTCATTTAGGCTTAACTTTTAATTGCTTGACTAGTCAGGAGCACAGGCTGACCAAAAGCCATGGGATTCTGTAAATAAGGATTCTCCCCTCACTCAGGCCTGTTCTGCCATTCAATAAGATCATGGTCGATCTAATTGTGGCCTCAACTCCGGCCGTCTGACCTCCATAACTCTTGATTCCCTTGTCAATTAAAAGTCTATCTAACCCAGCCTTGAATATATTCAATGACCCAACCTCTTTGTTTCTCTGATGAAGAGAATTCATCAGAATAACGATTCTCTGGGGAAAAAAAACTGTTCATCCCAGACTTAAATGGAAAACCCTAATTTTTAAACAGTGTCTCGAGTTTAATATACCCCTAGAATGGGAAACATCCTTTCAGCATCCATCCAGTGAAATAACCTCAGGATCACCTTTTATTCTCATAAACCCCAATTCACTGCATTGGCTTTCAGTTGGGCATGGAGCTTTTTGATAAAGGTCAACTATGTGGGCAAGTTCTCACTAGTGGGCAGGGGAGGGGGTGTGACCATCTTAAATGTAGGGGAGAGGGAATGATCGAATGTGGCCAGGGGAGAGGGTCAATTGAGGGAGCTGTCAAAATCGTGGATGGAGTGACGAAAAGGACTCCTCAGTAGGTGAGTTAAGTGTGGGAGTTACTGGCTTGGGTGCGAGACTAGGACAAAGGTTATCAGAGACCTTCTGGAGGATAGACTGGAGGCCTAAGCATAGGGATCACATACCTAGTGGAGAGCTGAATGTATTTTATAACCTATGTATGGTGAGTTGGCCAGGTGATGTGGGATGGAGTGTTAAATCAGATTGTGGAGAGGATGAGATTGTACACCTTGTGGAGAAGGACAGAGTGTTCGTGGCATGGTGGTTAAGGGAGTTTCTCAGGTAGGCACAATAGAATCAGGAAGTTGGTGAATAAGTGTGAAAACACTAATTTTTTGGTTTTAGCAAAGTGCTTATCTTAATGTAACTGTTGGGTTCCCTTGTGCTTGAGAATCCCTGCTGATCATAGCAAATCAGGAATATTGAATGACAACGAAGAATTATCAAGTTTAAAGTACTAATCGACCTCCTTGAAGTGGTTTGGCTACCTGGTCAAACTTAGATCAGCAGTCTGAATTGAAAGAATTTAATTTCGACTCCCCCATCCACCATTTTTTGTCAATTAAAATTTTGCCCACATGTCTCAGAAGGATATATGCTTGGATAAATGAAAATCACCTTAGTTTACAGGCCCTCTGGTGAATTCCTATATATTCAGGATTGGGAAATATCACCTTTCTGCTTCCTTTAATAAGACTTAATTGAGTAAGGGGGTTTAAAATAGGAGACTTGATGTGAAATGGTCCTGGGAATTAATATTCTTGTTACAAGAGCAACAAGCACCATTCTGAGACAACATTCAGGGATATTCAAAATCTGTAACATTTACCTCAAATAATGATATCAAGTCTACTTAAATATCTGAGAAGCTGTAAATACCAAAGGTCATAAAGGATTTACTTTACAAATAATCTGAGAAATAGTAGTCAAAATTTAGATGTGGTGTAAAAATGGCTAAAAGATTTTAAAGAAGATACTTTCAGGTAGTTATCTATTTCTAGTGATGAATAATGTCACAACAATGGAAGATCGTTCCAAAGATCTGACCTCATACCAAAGATTTCAGTGCAAGAATAGCACAGAAAAGTTACAGAATCAGAAAAAGATTAGAGAGAATACTGTTGAAAAAAAGAGACATTGTCAAAATGTTTTGTCTACTTGCCAACAAATTAGCACCCTTTTCTCATATAATATAAATTGTTGATCCCTTTGAAATTTGGTATTTTTGCAATTCTATCCAGATAAATATAAGATGAAAAGCTTCAGTGGTATATGTCTTTTTTACAGCAATACTCAATTTTTTGGGGGCAAGAAGCAGTTTTGCTTTAGAAGCTGCCAAACTGGAAAACATTTTTTTGGTTTTGTTCTCTCTATTCTCTCTCACCAGTCATTGACTTGTTAAAGGACTCCCTTGAGAAAGGGACTCCAGTCTGTAAGAAATAAATAAAATATCTCAAGAGGTCTACAGAAGTTGTTTGCATTGACTGATGACTCCAGAATTCACCAGTCTGTAAGGGCATAAGGTATACAGTCCTACGTGCCTGTAATAACCCATTGACAAGGGATTTCATAAAGGCCTAATGTGTATCATTGAAACAATTATAACACTATCAAATTACAATTCTTTTATTTTCTTTTTCTAATTTATTTCTTAACAGTGTCTGTCCATCTTTGTGCGAGTGGGGCTTATAAAGAGGCTTGGAGATCGTAGATATTAATTAGATTGCCTTGTTCATCTGTGTTGTACTAATTTATGTTATTAAGAATATATTGCTGATTTTTGTTTTAGTGTGAGTTGATTTTGGTGTTCTAGATCTGTTATTTTTAAAGTCTGGTTAGGCACAATAAAGCAATTTTGAGGATCATTGAATATTTTAATTTCACTCTGTTGCAAATCCAGTGTTAGGGATGTAGATTTGGTCTGGTTTACTATCTCTGTGTTGTAACAGCACCATAGCATTTCTTAGAATCTGATGCAAAAATAAATCTCTTCAATTGTTCTACAGGATAACAGTGAAATGAAGGTGGCTCCAAAGAAGACTTTCCTGAAGCGTGGAGAAGGCATTGCACGATTTGAGAAGAGCAAAGAAAATATCGTCAAAGAAGAAAACAGGAGTCCAGTTTGCAAATCCACTAAACAGTTTCCTAGAAAAGTTAGTTTTAGCAGTCAACATCAATTTTCCTTACCCTTGCTCAACGAGAATGAAAAGCTTGAGAATAAAAAACAATTAACTTCAAAAATACAAATTGATAGTTCAATCCTTATGGAACCAAAAGCAAAGAAGTCTGTCTCCATTGATAATTCCCTGGAAGACACCAAGATAAAGGATCACACGTTGAAAGAAAAACTGGACGAAATCAAGAATAGTACAGATGAGGGTATTCAAAGTGACATAAATGTAGCAGAACCACCAATCAAGGTTGACTCACTCCATAAATACTCTGATGGAAGGAAGGGTGGATGCCAACATGTTCAGCAGGACAGTGATAAAGGGGATATAACCACTCCAGAGGAATCCCAAGGAAGAATTACTAAAGGAAGTTTAAACTTAAATGTTCTAGAAAGTCAGTACTTGATTGGAGTTGATCCACAATTGAAGAATTGGCCAAATAGTTTTTCTCATGAAAGCATGGAGAGACAGAACCAACGCCAACAAATAGGACAGATTAAGATGAACCAACTACAGGAATCTTCAAATGAACAGCCATGTTTCAGTAACATTTCTCTTCTGGAATGCTTAAGTATTAAGAGAACAGAGAATACAGACCAGGCAACTAAAATGGTCCAACAGCAGGCAGAGAAAGCCCAAAATGAAGATGTAGCCAGTGTCACAGATTCCAGAAAATTGCTTGACAGAATAAGTCCAAGCATAGGCTTTAAGAAAATAAATGACAAAATAATTCAAGTTGCTACTGACGGCCTACTGTGCCAGAGTGCAAGTTTTGGAAACCAGCAAATAAAAGATCATGATATAGATAGTTTTGAAACTACGGGATTAGTACCACTTGCGAACAATGAACATAGTATGGGCTTTGTTTTAAAGAATGATGGTCTATGTTGTGGTGCATCTAATGCTGAAACAAACAGTACTGGCAATGAAGACGTTGGTCCAAAATCTCAGTACCACCAACAACCCATGACAGAAATTCTACAAAATTCTGGTCAGACTGACAAAAACTTAGACTTGTCAGATGATGCCGACTATGCGAGTGATGCTCCAAGTGCAATAGAAGAAATGAATACAATAGTTCAAACTTCTCAGCACTCTATATATTCTAGGTCAATAGCTGGAACGTCTACCATGAAACATAATGCACTGAGCAGCACAAGTAGCAGTGAAAATGAACCCTTAGAGCTCAAGACAATTGAAAGAAGATTTCCTTTTCCAAGTAATAGGCCAAGAAGAAATAAAAACAAGGTTATGAAAAGGAAGGCAAACTTTGTAAAAAAATGTGGCAATAGTTTTATGAACACTCAAACTTGTGATTCTACAGAACCAGATCTGATGCAACTTTCTACCGCTGGTCAGTCAGCAGTACTTCATTCTCAACTAAAGGTGTCAAGAAACTCTGATCTTCCAGTGCAGGTGAACTCAAGAAGTGCAAATGTTCAAGGTACGTATCTGTGAAATGAAATGATTCACATTAACACTTAAGCCTGTGTCCAAATACTAAGCGGCTACAATTCATAACTTTGCTCATTTTAGCAAGTAGGGTATGGTGGAATGTACATAGGAAGTTCCATCATTGGAGGAGAATCTCTGAGGAGTGAGGAAGATATATCCTGATGTACTGCTTATAACTTTGATTAAAGATTGACGGAAACCCTGAGCATTTGATGCAAATTACCCTGCTTACACCACTTGACTGCTGCAACTTGGTGATGATAATCCTGATAACTTTGAAACAGCAGAATTGCAGATAAACAAATTATGGTCATTACCAAAAGTTACCTATTCTGATACACGCTATAGTATTTAAATGGATTTATGTATAAAGTCATTCTCAAGTAAAGTCTTTGAAAGATTAAAAGGAGAAAAATAACATGACTATATTGCCGTACCATCCTTTTATGATAATTAATCTCCCACAATGTTTGCCAAAATTAGAAAATTACATGTGTATACTAAATGTGTTACATTTTGCCAATGCATACATAGTTGCAATACTCTTATAATAAACAGGGAAAAATGTCAAAACAGGCCCTTTCTTATTAATGTATCAGCATGGCCAAGTAATACTACTGTAGATTCTTCAACACATAAGGGTGGAGTTTCAGTTTGGATGCAGTCAGTAATTCCAAAGCAAAACTGTCAGTTTTGCAAATCATTTGCATATCACTGAATGCAATATCTGCAATGAATCAACAGGCTTGGGTGGTGTTTTAATTTTTTTTTGTACTGTTCTTGTAATATTTAAGACTGCTAACTCGGTTTGATTTGCTAAAATGGGTTGGTCACAATAAACACATATTAGTCATGCTTTCTATTAGTAACTCACTTTAATTATTTTAAAAAGCATTTTCAAAGTAGATTGGGGTAAAATAGTCAGTCCTTATTTTATAAGAACATTCATTTCAACAGTAGTTAGTAATGTCTTTGCATCCTAAAGTTCAAAATTAATTTTTGGATCCTCCTTGAAAGCCTACAAATGAATAGAAACTTCCAGTGATGATTAATTCAATTTAGGATCAGTGTTTCCTTTAAAATGTAGCTGTTGAGCAAGGCTAGTTTTACAATATATGATCCCTTCAGATTTATCTTTCCTGGTCAAAATTATGTGGAAACTTCAGGCCATAACTTAGATTCTTACGTCCGTGATATACTGAGAGAGTACTGCAGTGTTGGAAATGCCAATGTTTGGATGAGATGGTAAACTCACAACCATCTGCCCTCGGATGTGAATGATATGATGGCATAATTTGAAGAAGAGCAAGGGAGCTCCTCCTAGTGTCTTGGCCAATATTTAGCCCTGACCCTGTATCATTCAGCAAAAGAGTCGACATTATCTCATTGCTTGCTGTGCTCAAGTTGGCAGCTACATTTCCTTTATTACATTTCATGTCTGTAAAAGCAATTTGGGATGTGTTGAAGTTAAGTTAAAACGGAACTCTGATATCTTGGTGATGCCATTCCTTTCTGAGATCATGTGGTTATCGTAGATCAGTGTACAGTAAGCACTACAGAGGGTGGAGAAGAGGTAGAGCAGAGGAGAGAGAAAAGAGGGGTGGAGGAGAGAAAGTGAATAGGAAGGGAAGTAAAAAAATGTTGGACAAAATGAGTGTGAAGAAGGGGGAAGAGTAGAAAGGCAAAGGCAATGTTAAAAAAAAGTAGAGAAAAATAGGAAGAAGAGGACTGAGAAAGAGAGAAAGGAGGGAAAAGGGTGAGATGGAACAGAGAGAGGGGATGAAGAGAAGGGAGTGATCAAGAGATCCTTTTGAAATGTGTGCTTAACGCTTCTAGTTGTTTTCTCTGCCTATAAATATTTAAATGTCTCATCCTTGGTAAAGCATTAAAAAAATTCTGGCACAAATATTAAAGTAACCAGTCTGAATTGACCAGGTTAGATCTGCTTCCCTTTTTGAAAATGAATATTACATTTGCTACTATCCAGACTGCTAGTTATTGTCCATGCTCAATAGAAACTCAAAATTTAAATTCACCTGGTTTCTTAGGATCTTGAATGTTACCTATTAGTTACCTGTTAGTTCTCCTTTTACCTAAATAATTCTCCTCCAAAAGCCTTAGAATATAATATCATCTCCTAAATTTGTACTTATCTTTTCTACAATTCTTTGTTTGAATAATCTCTGTAATCAAATTTCCACCACTGCCCCTGCACTGAAATGGCTGTAATGAAAGTCACAAATGATACCCTGTGTGACACTTGACAGTGCCTCCCAAATCAACATAACTTATTTCAACATGGTTGACTGCACCATTCCCCCATTGTTTGATATCCAACTGCGTGGGAAAACCATCCTTACCTTGTTCCTCTCTTACTTATCCAGCCATTACTTCTGGATTCCAGAAAGGTCTATGCTCTTCTCCTGAGATAGTAGGAACTGCAGATGCTGGAGAATCTGAGATAACAAGGTGTAGAGCTGGATGAATATAGCAGGCCAAGCAGCATCAGAGGAGCAGGAAGGCTGATGTTTCGGGCCTAGACCCTTCTTCAGAAATGGGGGAGGGGAAGGGGTTAAAGGGTCCCTTTCTGGAGGGACCACTCTCTCCGTGACTCCCTTGTCCGCTCCATACACCCCTCCAGCCCCACCACACCCGGCACTTTTCCCTGCAACCGCAGGAAGTGCTACACCTGCCCCTACACCTCTCCCCTCACCCCCATCCCAGGCCCCAAGAAGACTTTCCACATCAAGCAGATGTTCACCTGCACATCTGCTAATGCGGTATACTGCATCCGCTGTTCCCGTTGTGGCCTCCTCTACATCGGGGAAACCAAGTGGAGGCTTGGGGACCGCTTTGCAGAACACCTATGCTCAGTTCGCACTAAACAACTCCCAGTTGTGAACCATTTCAACTCCCCCTCCCACTCCTCAGACGACATGTCCATCCCGGGCCTCCTACAGTACCACAACGATGCTACCCGAAGGTTGCAGGAACAGCAACTCATATTCCACTTGGGAACCCTGCAGCCCAATGGTATCAATGTGGACTTCACAAGCTTCAAAATCTTCCCTCCTGCTACCGCATCCCAAAACTAGCCCAGCTTGTCCCCGCCTCCCTAACCTGTCCTTCCTCCCACCTATCCCCTCCTCCCACCTCAAGCCCCACCCCCATCTCCTACCTACTAACCTCATCCCGCCCCCTTGACCTGTCCGTCCTCCCTGGACTGACCTATCCCCTCCCTAACTCCCCACCTACACTCACCTTTACTGGCTCCATCCCCGCCTCTTTGACCTGTCTGTTTCCTCTCCACCTATCTTCTCCTCTATCCATCTTCTATCCGCCTCCCCCTCTCTCCCTATTTATTTCAGAAACCCCTTCTCCTCCCCCATTTCTGAAGAAGGGTCTAGGCCCGAAACGACAGCCTTCCTGCTCCTCTGATGCTGCTTGGCCTGCTCTGTTCCTCCAGCTCTACACCTTGTTATCTCTGTACTGTTCTCCTTCTCATTTCACATGTATGTGCTTCCCTCTAGCGGCATCAACTGGAATCACAACATTGGATCCCATATTCGTTCAACTCATTCAACCTCTTCATAACCTCTGATTTCTCAAACAAACAAACAAACTAAATTAATCCCACTTGCCTGCATTTTGCCCATATCCATCTAAACATTTCCTATTCATTTACCCGTCCAAATGTCCTTTAAATGTTGTAACCGCACCTGCATCCACCACTTCTTTTGGCAACTCATTTGACACATGAACCACCCTCAGTGTGAAAAAGTTGTCCCTTAAGTCTCTTTTAAATCTTTCTCCACTCACCTTAAAAATATGCCCCCTAGTTTTGAACTCCCCCACCCTAGGGAAAAGACCTTTGCTATTCATCTTACATGCTCACACCTTCTAACTGTAATTTTAATGTTTCCCAAAGCAACTCCATTGTTCTTAGATAATGAGAACACCTTTTCCAACGCCTATGTGCCCTAGCATTCATTTCCTAACAGTTCTAGCATCTCTTAAAGCTACCTGTTCAGTCTTGCTGCAATCTGGGATTCTCTCTAGCATTTTCAGAACCTGCCATAAAGTATTGGTATGACTGCCAACACTGTATGATCCCAAGACCATCTCTAAAGTTAATGAATCAGTTTGCCTGGTAATACTACCTTTCATAACAGTCCTATGCATTGAAAAAACTTATTAATTCATCATGAACAATGACAGAGGAGATGTAGTAATACTCTAAAAATCTTTTGTTTTCAGACACTACAATTTTTGCCATTAAAAATTGCTACTTTCACATTTATAATGGAAAAAGGAAGAGAGTAGCTAATGTAGATATATATGCCACAGACTGGAGAAATTATTATGGAGACTGAAGAAACGGGAGAGACATTGAACAAATATTTCAATCTGTTTTTACAATAGAAAATTGGAGATTACTTACCAGAAATAAAACATAAACTATGGGCTGATAGCAATGAAAAATTAGGATAATTAATAGCAGCACAGAAAATATACTGAAAAGATTTGAGTGACTAACATTTGTCAAACCTCCAGGATCTTATGATCTATGTCTTCAGGTTCTAAAAGAAACAGTAGCAGAGACAGTGGAAGCACAGGCTAATATTTTCCAAAACTTCCTATATTCTCGAATGGTCCATTCAGATTGGAAGTTAGCAAATTTAATGCAACTACTGAAGAAAGGAGGAAGAGAGAAAACAAGAAAACTCCAGGTCAGTTAGCCTAACATCAGTCACAGGGAAGATGCTGAAATTATTTATTAGGGACAAAAACAAAGTTGCTGGAAAAGCTCAGCAGGTCTGGCAGCATCTGTGAAGGAGAAAACAGAGTTAATGTTTCGGGTCCGGTGACCCTTCCTCATTGGAAAACTTCATCAATTTCGCCTCCGATTTCCACCCTGCCCTCACTTTCACCTGGTCTATCTCTGACTCCTCCCTTCCCTTCCTCAACATTTCTGTTTCCATTTCTGGGGATAGACTGGCCACTAATATCCATTACAAACCCACTGACTCCCACAGCTACCTGGACTATACATCCTCACACCCCACTTCCTGTAAAGACTCCATCCCATTCTCTCAGTTCCTCTGTCTCCGTCGCATATGTTCAGATGAGTCCAACTTCGACAAGGGATCCTCCGAAATGTCCACCTTCTTCCTCAACCGAGGATTCCCCAGCTCCATTGTCGACAGGGCCCTCAACCAGGTCCGACCCATCTCCCGCACTTCTGCCCTCACCCCTTCTCTTCCCTCCCGCAACAGCGATAGGGTTCCCCTGATCCTCACCTACCATCCCACCAGCATCCACATCCAGAAGATCATCAGACACCATTTCCGCCACCTCCAGCAAGCTGCCACCACCAGACACATTCCCCTCCCCTCCCTTGTCCGCCTTCCGCAGGGACTGTTCCCTCCGGGACACCATGGTCCACACTTCGTTCACCCCCAACACCTCCCCACAGCCCTACGGCACCTTCCCCTGTAATCGGCGAAGTTGCAACACCTGCCCATTTACCTCCTCCCTCCCCAGTATCCAAGGGCCCAAACATACCTTTCAGCTGAAGCAACACTTCACCTGCTCTTCCAAGAATCTAGTCTACTGCATTCGCTGCTCACAATGTGGTCTCCTTTACATTGGGGAAATGAAGCGTAGACTTGGCGACCGCTTCGCAGAACATCTACGTTCTGCTCGCAAAAAAGACCCTGAACTACCTGTTGCCTGCCACTTCAATGCACCACTTTGCTCCCTGGCCAACATCTCTGTCTCTGGCTTGCTACAGTATTCCAGTGAAGCCCAACGCAAGCTGGAGGAACAACACCTCATTTTCCGCTTGGAGACCCTACAGCCCTCTGGACTCAATATTGAGTTCAATAATTTTAGAGCCTAAACTCTCCCATGTCCCAGCCCCCCACCCCACACACCAGGCCTTGTTACCACATAGCCTGCCATTACACACCCCCTGTTGTTAGTCACTAACAGTCCCCATTAACAACTATTCACCCTCCCAGCCTGATCGTTAGCAACTCCTTTGTCTGTCCAATTGTCTTTCTCTCTCTTTGGGCTCTATCCTATCGTTTACTCCCTACCCCACCCACCTCCCTATTTTCTGCATATAAACTGACGTTTTCCCAGCACCATCAGTTCTCAGGAAGGGTCACCGGGCCCGAAACGTTAACTCTGTTTTCTCCTTCACAGATGCTGCCAGACCTGCTGAGCTTTTCCAGCAACTAAAATGAAGAGACTCTCTGAATCTCCTGTTTATATTTGTCAGCTCAGGGTTCCGTGACTGGCCCAGGTTAACAACCCCAACCAAGGATCTTATTGTCAATAAGACCCTTGTTCATTATCACTGTCATTACTAAATACAATTGGGTGCGATCTTCCAAGCTCTTGAATGACATAGGCAATGATGAAAAATTTGGGAAAATCATGTCAGATGGTCAATGAGGAGATTCTTAATGCTGAGAGCGATAAGTCCCATTTTCCAAACAAATCATAGAATTCCTACGGTTTGGAAACAGGCCATTCGGCACAACAAGTCCACACCAACTCTCTGAAGAGCATTCCACCCTCCTACAATATCCTATCCCTGCCGTTCCCATGGCTAATCCTCCTAACCTATACATCCCTAGACACTACGGGCACTTTAGTATGGCCAATCCACCTAACCTGCACATCTTTGGACTGTGGGAGGAAACTGGAGCATCTGGAGTAAACCCACGCAGACACAGAGAGAATGTGCAAACTCCACACAGACAGTCACCCAAGGCTGGAATTGAACCTGGGTCCCTGGTGTTGTGAGACAGCAGTGCTAACCACTGATCCACCATGCCACCAAATGTTGGGTGGTGAAATGCAGTGAGAACAGAATTGAACACAGTATTCTAAAAATGGCCTAACCAATGTCCTGTACAGTGGCAACATAATATCCCAACTCCTGTACTAAATGCACTGACCAATAAAGACAAGTGTACCAAATGCCTTCTTCACTACCCTGTCTACCTGTGAATCAATCTTCAAGGAACTATCAACCTGTGCCCCAAGGTCTCTGTTTGGTAATAATCCCTAGGACCAACAGTTAAGTGTATAAGTCCTGCCCTGATTTGCCTTACCAAAATGCAACACCTCACATTTATCTAAATTAAACTCCATCTGCCACCCCTTGGTCTATTGGCCATCTGATCAAGATCCCATTATACTCTGAGATAATCTTCTTCACTGTCCACTACACCACCAACTTTGGCATCATCTACAAACTTACTAACCATTCCTCCTATACTCACATCCAAAACATTTATATAAAGATAAAAAGCAGTGGACCCAGCACCAATCCTTGCGGCACACTGCTGGTCACAAGATGCCAGTTTGAAAAACAACCCTTCACCATTAACCTCTATCTCATACCTTCATGCCAATTTTATATCCAAATGGCTTGCTCTCCTTGGATAGCGATTTTTCTAGATGTTCTTTACAAATTGAAAATAATAACCAGGATCCAATAAATCATTTAATGTTGTTATGGTTGTTAAACAAAAGAATTATAGTTTTAAACTATTGTGTATTTTTTAAATCACATAGAAGATGATCAATCCAGACAACTCCAAGCCAAACTCCTACAACTGGAAACAGAAATTGAATGCTTCAAAGTAGAAAACACAGCATTAGCCAAAATGAAGGAGAAACAAGAACTAGCCATGGAAAGTCTCAGGTAGGCTTCAAAGCTATGATCACATCTGCTCATAAGCAGACTCTATTCCACACTTACTGAAGTGAAATGACCAATGAAAGCAGACAAAATGTGGCTTGTCACATCATCATCCTCTAAATCCTCCACTCTGTCTGTCCAACACCCAAGTTTTGTCCATTGTAGTGCAAAAGCTGCCACTATTATTAAAATATCATCATGCCCATCCAACTACTGATACCCTTCAGAATTTGGAACAGAGATCACCACAATTTGTTCCACCTTTAAATAAAAATGGAATGTTGGAAGAAAATAACAGTGTCATAATTATCATGCTGTGGCCATTCCAACCTGTGTTTGCTGTTTGTCATGAGTTACACATGTTCAGTCGGTTGAGGGAATAAAATTGGTGGATAAGAATTGCTGAATGACAAGAACATGGAAGGTTTAATCTGTATATTTGTTGCTAAATCTCATAATTCTACATCAATGTTAGGGGTCATTATTACTGTAGTCACTATCTGCTGTGAGCACTTCTTGGTGGTCTCCATAGTAGTGCAGAGTTGCATACTGGAATAGAATTCCACCTGATGTATGTGCAAACTGATTACCTCAGTCCTATTTCATCTGTACTACTGGTGGAAAATTCTTCCTGTCAATGTTCATAAATCTGAATGTTTTTGTATCTTTGTATTCTAACTGTTGTGGTTACCTGAAACTATTAACTATTTTTTCAATGAATTGGAACTGGCTATCAAAATGTCTGGGAGGTTTGATCCTAAAGCTTCAAAATAATAGGGTCTTTGGTGACAGATTTTCAGTGCAGAAGATATTGGCATATAGCTCAAAGATAGACATCGTTATTTCAATATTTATGTACAATAGCATATTCCTGAATAAAGGCATATTTGGTTTTGAACTACTTCACACTACTGACATATGTCTTAACATCATGTGCAAGGAGGTATATGACTCTTCATTATTATCCTATTTCTGTAAGAGACTTCCATTTCAAATCAAGGCCAATATGTCTCCATGCAACACAAGCAGAGAACACATTTTGCTGAATCTTGTCATGTATCAGTTAATTTCACTTCAATCATTATGATTCTTTTTTCTTAGTATAATTACATAGCACTTTATCTTCCTTTGTTGAATAATGGGGAAATTATAGAAGGTTTTATAGTTTGATTAACCTGCAGGACTGCCTCATGAGTGCTCTTTCCATGGCTACCAAGTTACAGCAGGGACCATCCCGAATGATAGTTTATTTCCAACCTTCCCTTCATTTTTCCCATTCATCTTTACTCATTGTCATCAACTTGTGTAGTTTTATATTGGTGAATGCTTCAATTCGGGAAATAAAACTTAATTACTTAGATGTTTTATTCCTACAATAAGACTGGTTGTTAATGTCCTTTTTGTTCAATGAAGGGAGTAAATGGTATAGTATGAGTGCATATGTACATACTTCATTTGGTTTCTGCATAAGTGCTGTGTACATTATTGTATGTTTCTGCATAATAAAATTGTATGGATTTTTTTGTGCAAATCATAGATGGTTTTGTTTATTTGAATTTTCAGATAAAATCCATTAAAAATTCAAAAATGTCTTATTGACATTGAAAATCTTTAAATATATATTTTAATATATAAAATATTTTTAAATATACGGTCGGTTCTGCTATAACATCATAGTCGCAGTCCTGTGCAACATCACATTGTACAAAATCGCGCTATAGAAATAACGGGACCTATGGGAAAAGCAGGGTTAGGGGCATACCACCAAAAATATCACTCAAAATTGCACAAAAATCACTCAAAAAACCTAACACAAAGGATAGCAAAGTTTGCATAAATGTTTAATTCATACCTAATAATGAAATAAATTTAACATCTTACCTTGAAAAAAATGTCAAGATGACTTGATGGGGGAATGGGGGAGGAGGTTTTGAGGTTGCAATACAGCTTGCTTTAAGCTTTTCTGCATTGTCTCTAATGGTGCATAAGGTGGACTCCTTTATTCCTGTTACGTGAACTATTTCACATGATCTCTCATTATGCTCAAAACGCTTTATAACATGTAGCTTCTCCTCCAGTGTTATAGCCTTTCTTTTACGTTCACCGTCTGCAATTTTATCACCAGAATGCTTCTTGCCAACATTCTTTTCATTTGTCATCACATTTTTTGTGCATAACATGGAAGAATTTGCAAAAAAAATGAAAATCATGGAGTACTGTCCCTCTCACAGAAAGCACTTCACGACAAAGCCTGCGAAATGATCATGTGATGCCAGTGCAGAGACTCTTTCGGTGCTAACATTGCACATGCTCTGGACAAAACCCGCAAAACGATCTTGTGATGTCGGCATGTACTTCTTTGCACACCGATGGAATCCCACATTATAGCCAACACAAGTTTGCGTTCTAGAAATAGTGTTCCCCTATTCATCAGTCGCGTTATAGCCAATTTGCATTGCCGGAACCCACGTTATTTCCGAACCGATTGTACCTTGGTTACTGACTAACTTTCTTCATGATTAAAATTTAATGCCTTTGTCTCCAGACTGCTGGGATCAGATTAGATCTTTGATTATAAATCAGTGTGTTCCTTTAACCATGAGAAATTTAATTTGGCTGAGAATAAACAATTTGTTGAGGGGTTATGGCACAATGGGTAGCGCCCATACCTCTGAGGCAGAATCTTTATATTTGAGCACCATGCTAGAACTTGATGGCTACAGAAGGTGCATTCACAACTTGGTCAAACAAGTTGATTATCAGATGATAAGAATGGAAGAGTCTAATGGCCAGCCATGCCTGGTGTGGAGTGGTGCCCTTCAAGCTATATAGTCTCTCGTGATGGGGAGTGACAGATTTGTTCCAGGGAAATTTAGTCACAGTTACATACATATGAACATGCTTTGTCTGCCTCATGTTACTAAGATGTGGGAATGTCTGCAAGTCCAAAATGATTTGTTACAATAATATCCTCTACCTCTGGGATAACGTTGCATGCATAATTGGTGTTCCCACCAGTTCTTCCTGATGAATGAATTGTGCGATATATTCTACTTCAATTGCATAATTCATTTGCCAGTTTTAGCATTGTATGAAGAACTTTGCTTTATGCAGATATCTACTCCTAATGTTTTTTTAAGTGTCTTGTTTGCATGTGGGTGGTTAGTGAAATAACTCCACAAACACTGGTATCTTGTCACCAAGTGACCCTTAATTTAATGCGTAGACTCCTTGACACTGATCCTCGAAGCTAATCCATAAAGCGAACAGGATTCAGACACTCCTGTTCTTATTTGTCAATCAGGACTCCCTGATTGAACCGGATTAACAGCCCCAAACCGAGTACTCATATCCTATGAGGTCCACCTGGCTGCTCCCTCCCTCTCTGAGTCCAAGGGCGTAGGTCTCTTTTTTTTTGCAGCGCCTCCTGGGGCATTTTAAAACCAAGTCAGGTTCCAACTCTGCCTCTGATACAGCCAGCATGTAACGCAAGGTATCTCACCCAAAGCGTCTCGGAAGAAATTCATTCCCTTCTTCAGCCAGCAAGGCATCGAGGTGGTGACATCCATCTGGATTCCAAGGTATCTTCAATGCTTGATGGAAAGGGAGAACCCATGGGTTCTGGAGCAGTTGGAAGGGCTGTCGAGGAGCTGGCCACATTTTGCTTCCACACCGTTTGCGAGTTTGCAGCTTTCATATGGTCCACGTGCTTGTTCAGGACCATTGCACCTACCCAAAATTCATACATCACTGGACATGACCTTGTGTTGACCATGCCTCTTACGCATGCAGGGCTATTCCCGTGGTTCCCACACCAAATTTCATCCCCTGAAGTAATCTGTCTCTCTCACTTAGCAGGGTCTTCTGTCTAGCATTGGCATTCCTGATGCTGTTTGAAATCACCCCCGCCCCCGCCAAGACTGGGAACATCAGATTTAACCTGGTGTGGAGTCTTCTCCCCATTAGCCACTCTGCTGGAGCTATCCCTTGCATGACGGGTGGTTCAATAATCAAATAGGAAAAGGGACAGTTTGGTATCTAGTGAAGCTGCAGGCTGTTTCTTTAAGCCTGCTTTCAAAGTTTGGACTGCTCTTTCTGCCAGACTGTTGGAAGATGGATGTTATGGAGCTGTCCTCTAGTGTTGAATACTATAATACTCAAATTCCCTGCTGGTAAGCAATGGTCTGTTATCTGTGGCCAACATTTCCGGCAGTCTGTGTCCGCTGCTCCCCAAAATAGGTTCTCAGTCTAGTTGAGGTCTTGCACAAACTTAAGGATTGGAGTCCAGAGTGAATTTTGTTAAAGGGTTCTGCAATAACTGAAATGGCCGCATCAGAATCAACCTCTATTAGAACCAAGTGACCATTTAACTAGAAGTTTATTTTAAGTTGTTCTGATTTGGATGCTACTAAGTAATTTAACCATTCCAAACCAGATATAGGTGGACTTTCCAGGGTGTGCACTCTCAGATACTGGCCTATGAGCGCTCTTACTGATTTTAGATTTAGTTGGGTCTTTTGGTGTCTTGTTTACGCATACCAGCATACAATAGATTGCCAACTTAGCTCCTGAAGAAAATTTTGAACCATTTTACTGAGGCTTGGCTTTGTTTTTTGGTTTTGCTGTGGTCTGACTGTTCAGGTTATATCCTGAACGAGGCCATGCAATTGCCTTCACTCAAGTGGTTTTTCCCCAAGCTGTCAGACTGGCGAGGGTGTCCACTTCCATCAGAATACCCTGCACCTCATATGCTCCACTTGGCACATTTTCCAATGATAAAGCCAGTTGTAAAGCCTGTTTGAAGTCCACTCGAGCTTCAGCTAATAGGCGCTTTTGCATGGTTACATCATTAATCACACTTACCAAACGGTCTCTCAGCATCTCATTAAGGGTTAAACCAAAGTCAAATGCCTCTGGCAGTCGTCTTAACTAGTCAAAACTCCTGATACAGATTCCCGTAGTTCTCGAATTGCCAAGTAAAACTGTTAGCATCTCAGAATAAA